GGTCGTTCAATACGCCGGGGAGTGTCGGTGATCGTCGCACCGCGTCGTTTTCGAGATGGTCCCAGGCAACATGTATATCATTAACACATAGACTTTAACTTACAGAGTCAACAATAAGTCAATACAAACTATACGAAGAAACACGGAAAACAGACAGCCAACAAAATATCACGCATCTATATTTCAATTATTCTAATAATTAATAATTTGTGAATGGTTGAAATCATTCCTAGACAACAAGATAAATTTTATAATTTGTTTTAAATAACATTCAAGTAAATTCTGTAGAGATATATGCCAAATGAGACAAACAAAATTGTAACTAACTATAGAATAACAAGACATATGCGACCTTCAAAGAAACACATTCATATTCACCGGTTTTGTCATAGACTCCCAACTTGCCTCGTGAGCCTTTGAGTTCACGCCGTCACTGCGTGATGTGAAATGTAGACGTCACCATGGCCATATCGTCACGTGGTTTGTATCGTGTGTCAATATTGACCATGTGTGTTCTAAAGATCAATTTTGAATGAATGAATAAATAAATAAATAAATAAATAAATAAATAAATAAATAAATAAATAAATAAATAAATAAATAAATAAATAAATAAATAAATAACGGACGGATGATGAACGAATGAATGAGTTCTGGGTCAGTGCTGTCATGGTAAATATGTCTACATGAATTGTAGCGTAAGGTTGTAGTTGGTGTTTGTTGATTGCAAAGACAAAATTAAATTGTACAGTATTCCGTGAGCAATTATTTGTTTTCAACATTTAAATTGTTCAGGCTTTAAAAAGATTGTCAGGTTTTCCACTCGATTGGAACTGAGCGGACTATATTGGTTTTTTAGCTTATCCTCCAATTGAAGTGCTTCCATCTGTCATTCAAATAGTACCATTTTGATGATCGGTTTGTAGAACTAATATGGTGCCACATACTAAAGCACCGAATTCTATACATTTATATTTTGTGTTATTTTGTTATCATTTTGCTGTTTTATTATACATTTATTTTTTTGTTATTTGAACTAACATTATATAGCTATGGGCTTTAGATCACCAAAACTACCAGTAAATAAATTACAAATAAATTAATCATAGGAAAAAATAGTAAAGAATTGAAATAAAGGAAAAGAAAAAAGGTACCTAAGTACGATCTTTTTTAAGCAGATTTTGTGACAGAACTATGGACCCTACCGACCTCAGTGTGGCGCCCAGTGTCCCTGTCAGCGTTGTGTTATTATTACCTCAATGTGAATATTAACGCCCTGGAAAACACTACCGACCTCAATGTGACGCCCAGTGTCCCTGTCAGCATTGTGTTATTATTACCTCAATGTGAATATTAACGCCATGGAAAACACTACCGACCTCAGTGTGACGCTCAGTGTCCCTGTCAGCATTGTGTTATTATTACCTCAATGTGAATATTAACGCCCTGGAAAACACTACCGACCTCAGTGTGACGCTCAGTGTCCCTGTCAGCATTGTGTTATTATTACCTCAATGTGAATATTAACGCCATGGAAAACACTACCGACCACAGTGTGACGCTCAGTGTCCCTGTCAGCATTGTGTTATTATTACCTCAATGTGAATATTAACGCCATGGAAAACACTACCGACCTCAGTGTGACGCTCAGTGTCCCT